AAAAACACCCAGCGGGCCGGATAAATGTTTTCGGCGGGCCGCATGTGGCCCGCGGGCCGTAGTTTGAGGACCCCTGGTCTAGAGAGACAGAAGGGCTCCGAGCGTGCAGGAAGCCATGTTATCTACAGCTAATCTCTCTCTCCTCTGCTTAAGGACCCCACGGGCCTGGCAATGTTAACTCCCTCAACTCACGCTCCCAGGTCCTCAGAGGTGGCCACCTGCCTCTCAGCCTCATCAGCAGAGAGAGATGGTGAGGGACCATCAGGGTGAGGGACATTGCTCAGGCCACCCCAAGAACAGGAAGGGACAGCTGTTGGACAGCCTGGAAGAGAGGGAGATGAAGGAACCTATAATAATAAAAGCATAATATGCTAATTAGTTTGGATTGATGAACAACCTTCCGGACGTCATTCTGGACATCCTTCCGAACCAAGCCCCAATGGCAGGGGCCAAGGCAGAGGTAGTGATGGGCATCAGGCAGGCAAGCGAGTGGTTAGGGGCAATCAGGCAGGCAGGTGAGTGGTTAGGGGTGATCAGGCAGGCAGGCAAGTGGTTAGGGGCAATCAAGGCAGTCAGGTGAGTGGTTAGGGGCGATCAGGCAGGCAAGCAAGTGGTTAGGGGCAATTGGGCAGGCAGGCAGAGGCAGGGGCGATCAGGCAGGCAGGTGAGTGGTTAGGGGCAATCGGGCAGGCAGGCGGAGGGGTTAGGGGTGATCAGGCAGGCAGGCAAGTAGTTAGGGGCAATCAGGCAGGTAGGCAAGTGGTTAGGGGTGATCAGGCAGGCAGATCAGTGGTTAGGAGCCAGAGGTCCTGGATTACAAGAGGGATGTCTGACTATCGGGCCTAAACCAGCAGTCAGACATCCCCCAAGGGATCCCGGATTTCGAGAAGGTACAGGCCAGGCTAAGACACTCCCCACCCATGCAAGAATTTTGTGTACCGGGCCTCTAGCCTACTATAAAGACTGCCCCTCTCCTAGGGCCAGAGGCTGCCTCTCTTCCAGGCTCCAGGGGGTTCCTCAAGCGAAGCAGCAAGCAGGTGAGCCAGGCCCCACCTTCCCAGCAGTGCCTCATGTGGGTCTCCTGGTGCTGGGCCCACACCGGGTCTGTGAAGGACACAGGCTGGATGCTGGGACTTCAGGCAGGGTGCTGCTGACTCATGACTGGGGCAGTCCAGCACCTGGTTCCTAGCAGAGGCTCAGGGACAGGGTGGGAGCACCAGAGGCCCCACATCCATTGCTGTGTGAGGGTCCTCACGCCCTCGTCAGAAATGAGGGAGCGTTATCCCCCACCGCTCAGTGTCACATGACTTACCCATCCAGGGTGGCACAAGAAGGCCAAAGATCAGTGCCTCCCCCAGCAACTGTTCCCAGGAACTTCACCCGACTTGGTCAAGTCATACTGACAGTCCTTGGAACCAGGGGCCTCTGAGCAGGATGGAGTTCAGAGAACAGTCTGGGGGATACACTTGGGTTGGAAATCTGGCTCCACCACTCAATCACCACAAGACCCTGAGCGGGTTCCTTAACCACTCTGAGCCTCAGTTTCCTCCTCTGTAAAATGAGAACAATAGTATCCTTCTTCTGTGCCAAAGACTTGGGTGAGATAATGTGTGTAAATAGCTTAGCACGGGGCCTGGCCCACCGGAAGCATATAATTGGCAGTAATAATAATAATAATTATTATTATTATTATTACTATTACTAGAGGAGGGCAGAGTCCTCCAGAGAAAGGAGCGCTGGGAGTGAGTGAGCTTGTCAGCAGTCTTCCTGATCCCCAGGCAGCTTTTCAAGTCATGCAGCAGAAAGTGCAGGGAAAGGATAATGTGTTTGTGTTTCTAAACCACAGTCGATCCATATCTTTCCTCTTTGGTCCTAACCCAGGCTCCCAGCCCTAGCTGTAGGTGCTCAGACGTTACAGCAGGCCCCGACAGCCACGGGCTGAGAAGGAGCCAGGAAGCGCCCGCCCCGCCCAGCGTGCCTTCCCAGACAGTTCGGGTTGGCCAGTGCCCCAGTGCTGGTGGGGCTCCAAGAGCCACTGGCGGTGGTGAAATGTCAGTTCTCAGTGTCCCTGTCTAGAGCTCCTGCCCAATTTGTAGAATGGCAGCATATGGACAACTCCCTCGACCTGAATGCCTCTGCCAGCTGCCAGGGCTCTGCAAAGGAGGGTGTGCCCGGTCCCTTTCCCTGTGCGCAGCACAGCGCCATGGGAACAGGGCCAGAGGGAGGCACATGGATGCTGGAGGAGATGCTGTCCCCCAGGCTGTTCCTGCCACTTCCTGCACTCTTGTTCTGCCCTCTCATCCTGGACAGGGCTGAGTTGGGGGTGAATCAGAGGAGGATAGAGAAGGGGGATCACACACAGGAATTAACCACTCAGGACCTAGTCTGCACATCCCAGCCATCCTAATTGGCAGAGGTCCCCCAGCCCAGGGGCGCTGACCCACCTGTAGATGCGACCACAAGTGCAGAAACGTGGGGTTGTAATGGGCAGCAGAGTCCTCTCGTCTAGCCTAGTATCCAATACGGGAACCTTTGCTCTAGCATACCTGACTGATAGTTATCTGGGGTCTTCAGTGATGGGGGGGGTTCATGGTCAGTCTTACCTCCATGATCAGTCTTATTTGGGAATCTCTGACTCTCCGCAAACCCCATCGATGTTCCAAAAGGTAGGAGGACCTCAGGGTTACCTAGACTCACTCCTTACAGGATGAGGATGGGACTTGGCTAGTAGCCTTTATGGGATACCCAAGCCTAGATTCAAACCAAATTAAATACCAGTTCACTTTTGATAATAGTCTAATGTTCACACTTTATCACAGTTCAACAGTTCAGAAGTACCGCTTGGAGTTGTCGTTTTGATATATAAGGTATTTGTATAAAAAGAATGAATTCATGTGTGCATCTGTGAGTCAGTAAAACATAATTTAGGGTGTTGATTCTAGGTTCAACAATGTTAGGCATTTCATTCTAGCGTTGGTTCATGGATCATTTCAAATCCTCAGCAACCAATTCTCCCTGCAACCCCCCCCCGCCCCCCCCACAGCATAATGGGCTTTCCACAGCCAGGACTCCTGTGTCCCTGTTTTATGCAGGTTCTTAGAAAGACACAAAAGGTTAGACTCGATGCCCTATTGGAGCAGCCCAATATATATTTGTTAAAGATGTGTTTTTTTAATTGATTTCAGAGAGAGGAGAGGAGAGGAGAGGAGAGGAGAGGAGAGAGGAGAGCTTCCACACCAGGCTCCCGCTCACAGGCCAACATCTCCAGCGGGCACTGCCACGCTTCCCCAGAGGCCTAGGGCACTGGGGCTTGTGGTGCAGCCAGACAGGGTGCGCAGCCAGGCAGGGTGCGGGCCTGTTTGGGGCCGGCAAATTCCCACTCATCACCTTAGCTGTGCTCAGCAGGAGTCTAAACTGTGCATAAGCAAAAGAGCCCATATGCAAACGCGGTATCCATAAATTGCATTGATATATCTAAAGGATCCATGAACAAAAATGACACATGACAGTAGTGACCTCAGTTAATAACTGAAGTTTGAAGTGCCCAACAGTGACGGAAATCTCCGCAGTCCTGGGTCCGCTTGCTGTGACTGCAGCCACCCAGCCTGGGGGCCATTTGGAGTGCAGATGTGCTGAATCTCCAGCCAGAATCCTCTCAACACCCAACTGGACACAGGCCTTCCTGGGGCCCGAGTCTAGGACAGCAAGGGTCTTCTCACTTCCCTGTTTGGGGAAGAGACAGGCAGGTGGTCCCTCCCTCCCCCTCTCCCTCCCCCACAACATTAATGCACAGGAGAAACCACCCTCCCAGCCAGAGGAAGCTGGGCAAAGGGCAGCCAGGAGTGAGCCTCTCTGCACAGCCATCCTGCTTCTGGGCCAGGGCACTGCTGGGCACAGCGATGGATGGATGCGGGCTGTGGGGCCGAGCCCCACCCTTTTTGGGTGCAGGGCCCCTGAAAGCGTTCTTTCCCACAGAGGTCCCCTCCCTGAAACCAGAGGGTTCTCGGAACTGAGCAGGGTCTGACAAGGAAACAGGAATCTCGTTCATTCCAGCTTTCCTGCCCAAGAGCGTCTTAGGGCCTCGTCCAGCCAGACGGGCAGGCCAAGGTGGCAGGTGGCCCGGGCTCTCCAAGGGGTGTGGGTGGGCCCGCAGCACCTCCAGGGCCTGGAAGGAGGCAGCTGGAGCATCTGCAATGCAAATGAAGGAGTTAATTACACAGAGAGGGGCTCCGCGGATAATCAGGTCAGGCTCCGCCAGGCGGCCCAGGGACTGGGAGCCACCGGCAGGTCACAGCCGGGCATGGCTGGGGTCGGGGTCCTGAGGCGAAGGGCCCGAGGAAGCGGGAGCCCCGCGTTAGAAAGGGTTGAGCGTGGAAGCGCCCCTCGGGCAGAGAGGCTCACGGCCACGGCCACGGCCCCTCGCGTCCTGGGGCGGCTTTTCCAGGGCTCTGTTGGCCGCCGAGTCCTACCTGGAGCCACACCCTGAAATCAAACTCTTGGCCAGGTGAGGCCGGCGCTGCACCGACTTGTACTAGTCAGCGCGGCCTCCCTCGCGCTCCCGGCGCCCAGGTCCCTCCTGCGGAGGGCGGGCCGCTCCCTGCCTCTCCGAGGGCTCCGAGGCTTCCTGCTCGCAGGTGGGTGCCCCAGCCAACCCCTACAACTGGCTGCCCTCCCGGGGCTGGGGCCGGGACGAGCGGGCAGGCCTCCCCGTACGCGCGGCCCCTTTTGCCGGTTCTCATTCCCCGCAGGGAGGTGGGCCCTGTGGCTGCCGGGGTTCCCGGGGTGGCGGGAGCGGGACCGGAAGCGCTGCGCGCCCTGTCCCCTCCTCCCCTCGCGCCGGTGGAGATACCGCCGCCTCCCCTTGCACCTGAGCAAGTGGCTTAGTGGGGAGGCTGGTCTGGGGCGGGTTGAATGCTCTGGATTGCGGCCATGCGCAAAGTCCACCCGCGGGGACACGTATGGCATTTGTCACAATGACTTTCTTATCTGTTTCCCCCCAGGCCCACAGGACTGGCCGGGAAGGTCCTTAGTCTTCCCTCTCCTGGTGCCTGAGAGCTCTGGCCACTGAAGGGTAAGGAGCCAGGAAGAAGAGGAGGGAGGAAGGCCGCCCGCAGCAGGTGAGTGAGGGACCGCCAGCCCTGGCAGGGTGTCCAGGAGACCAGCATAGGGACAGATTGGAGGGGCAGTGAGGCCTTCTTGGGCTAGCCCGTGCTTGGTACTGCGAGGCAACAGTGATCGCTTTTTTTTTTTAATGTTTTTATTCTAGAGAGAGAGGAAGGGAGAGAAACATTGAGCGGTTGCCTCCCCCAGGCACCCTGCCTGGGGATTGAGCCTGCAACCTGGGCAGATGCCCTGACCAGAATTGAACCAGGGCAGCAGCGGTTCCTTTTAGGTGCCATTTCTCAGTCTTCGGTGTATGTACATTGTTACTTCCATCGCTTCAGCCCACAGCAGGCCTCTGAGCTCCAAATGCCCGCCCTGGCCCAGCCTCTGCATGTCATCAGGTCTGATGCCCGTCTGGGGCAAGACAGTGTCACCAAAGCCCTGCACTGAACTCTTGCTTGGGAAAGAGGCTCCCGAACAGGAAGGGCAGTAGCAGGCCCAGCGCCCGTGCTGAGCAACGCATTCCCCAGATCTCCAACCTGCTAAGATCCCTCCAGGCTTTCTGGCACCCGGGGTGCAGCTTCCAGCCCGGATGTAGATGCTGCGAGGAACACTGAGGGCCGAGACATACAGAGCTCCCAAGACGTAGACTGTGCTCCCTGTGTCTTGCCCCCTCCTGGCATTCTCTTAGGCTCGTCTGACGTGCTCCTCGAGGTGGGGGAGTTGGGACTGTGTGTGCTCAGGTCTTTTGTGGCAGGTGCAGCATACACTGCGATGCGTTCTCATGCCGTGCACAGGACAGCGGCTGAGCACCCATTCGGAACCAGAAAAAGCGGGGTTCGAATCCTCACTTTACCTTTGGTCGCTTAGGCAAGTTGCTTTACTTCTCTCCTAACTTGAATGTCCTTGGCAATAAAATGGGGAGGATCATGCTTTCCTCATGGGATAGTTGTGAGGAGTCACAGTGAGACATGAGAGCAGCCCAGCAAGGGACCATGTCTCACCTCCACTTGTCAGTATTGGAAAAGCAGAAGCTACCTGAGCGCTCCTCGCTTGGAGAACTTGGAGAACGGCCTGACTATGTAGCAGGACATTGTGGAGGCCGTGAGAGCAAAGCAATGGGAAAGCAGTAAAGGCAGAGTGTCCATGGGGGCAGGTAGTGAGGTGGCCTGGGGAAGGGGCCGTTTCTGGAAGGGGATCTGAATTTGGAGGCAGAAACAGCAGCATGCTCTGTACATGTCACATGTGGTCACATGTTCATGGGTGATCCTGGTCACAGGTGTGGCCTGGGGTAGGAGGAGCCTCTGGCTTGAGGCTTTCAGTCCTGTCTCTTAGTAGTTGTGTGATCTGAGACGGGTCATTTAACTTCTCTGGGCGTGACAGAGGAGAGGGGCTTGGGGGTTGGAGTTGGAGAGACCTGAGTTTGAACCCCAACTCCACACTTACCATCTCACAAACAGTTACTTCTCTCCAAGCCTTGGTTTCTTCCCTTGCAAAACAGAGCTTATAATATCTCCCTCATAGAGTGTGACCATTAAATGCACTAGTAAAAAGCACCCACCCAGCACAGTGCCTGACGTGTACAGTGTATATCCCTTTCTCATCTCCTCCTCCCTCTCCCCAGCCTCCTGTCATCTTTAAAATGCACCCAGTAAAGCAGGATTGGCCCAAGTCACAGTGGTATTGTGAGCATAAAGTGAGGAGGAAGACAAAGTAAATATAGAAAGTTAAGGGCTGTAAAAACATAATTATGCATGTGTGTGTGTGTGTGTGTGTGTTGTGTGTGTGTGTTGTGTGTGGTGTGTATATGTTGTGTGTGTGTGTGTGTGTGGTGTGTATGTGTTGTGTGTGTGTTGTGTATGTTGTGTGTGTGTTGTGTGTATTGTGTGTGTGGTGTGTATGTGTTGTGTGTGTGTGTGTGGTGTGTGTGTGTGTTGTGTGTGTGGTGTGTGTGTGGTGTGTGTGTGTGTGTGTGTGTGTGTGTGTGTGATTGGGGACCTAATTTTGTAAGTAGAGACTCTAGAGGTTCTTTCTAGGATTGAGAACTCTGTGATGAGTTCAGGCCTCTGCATGCGGAGGCTGTTGAAAATCTGGGCTGGTGAGGAGGTGCCTGGCCTGCGGCCCTCCCAGGAAGGCCATTCTTCTCTCTTCCCTTGGAGATAACCCCGTGCCCAGGAGAGCACAGTCCTGTGGACCCAGGAGGGGGTTAGAATTTCGAGTACAGCGAACAGAGGTCAGAGAGCTCTGGCTGGAGCTGCTGCTGGACCACAGCTCTGCGTGTGCAGGCTGGAGCCGGGCCTGAGAGGCGAGCCTGAGTCAATATTAACCTTCTCTGGCTGGCCAGCCTGGCTCTTTGGCCTCTTATTCAACTGGAGTGTTGACACAAGTGATTGAATGAGCTTTATTATCATATTCTTTTCAACAGCAGCCCCATTATCTCTCCCCTGGGGATTCACTGGGGCCTGCAGTGTGGGAATGATGACAGGGGCAGGGAGCCCAGACATGTGGGCTTATTATGTGCACAGTGCCCTCTGCCTGCACACACAGCTTCTCTCTAGGCCACTCCAGGGGGACAACAGGACCTGAGCGCTACTCGGCATCCTGGGGACACGGCAGCCCAATGGTCCTGGGCAGACCTTACAGAGGCCCCAGGCAATGGCAGTGAGGGCCACAGCCTGGGTCTAGGCCCACGCCCCTGCAGGTGACAACCAGGCAGAAAAGCAAATCAAATTCTATTCAGGCCTTTCCCTGGCATATTTTTAGGGGCCAGGAAAGTGTGCTGAGGTGCCACCTCTCCTGACACTCATGTCATATGAACAGGGACAGATGGTGTCCTGGACCTTTGGTGGAGGCTGAGGGAAGACAGAGGGCAGGGGCCCTGGGGAGGGGGAGGAGTCGCCATCAGCAGACTCCCTGGAGCAGTGTGAGAGCAGGGACAGGCTTCTGTTGGGAATGCCGCCGAGGGGCTGCAGTTTGGGCCGGGACAGAGGCCAGGCCAGATCCCACGCACGAGTCCCTCAGGTGAGCAGCACCGTCTCTTCTGGCAGGTGGTGAGCTCAGGAGGGTGTCTAACATCTAAATACTTTTGAATTAATGAGTGAATAGTATAATTTTATATTTAAACAAACCCCAGAAAAATAAAGTTTGAGAAAAATCTTCTGACGGATGAGAATCCTCTAATGAGAGGCTGGCTTCAGTCCACACTTGTTGTCAACAGGGGCCGAGACCCACACAGCTCCTCAGGAAGGGTGTGAGCGATGCCAGTTTCCAAGGAGGTGTGAGGAGGTTGGGCAGCCCGACTGTAGGGGTCAGCGTGGGAGGTCAGGCTCTGGAGGTGACAGGGTCCTCTGTGGTCACTCTGTGACTGGACGGAGACAGCAGCAGGGGTGCCTGTGTGATTGCTGTCATTCCTCTGCCTCAGTGCCATGATTCTAGAATGGTTCCTTTCCCGAAGCAGCACCTTGGGTGGGCCTGAGAACCACGCAGCGTGGGTGGTGGGAGGTGACAGCCGACTGCAACCAGGTTCACATGAGGATCTGGGTCAGATAGACGTGGCTCTGCCCCTTCTTTGCTGCTTGACTTGGGCAAATCATTAATCTCTCTGAACATCAGTTTCCTCATCTGCATAATGGGCCGATAACAGTCTTACCTCACAGGCTTGTGGCGAGGAGATTTTGTATGTGAAATACTCAGCGCACAGCCCAGCTGTGAGGCTCAGTGGTTGAGTGTTGACCTATGAACCAGGAGGTCACGGTTCAATTCCTGGTCAGGGCACAGGCCCGGGTTGTGGGCTTGATCCCCAGTGTGGGGCGTGCAGGAGGCAGCCGATCGATGATTCTCTCTCATCACCGATGTTTCTCTCTTTCTCTCTCCCTTTCCCTTTCTCTCTGAAATCAATAAAATATATATATATTTTCTTAATTAAAAAACTGCTCAGCACCCAGCCTGGTGCTCACACTAGGCCTTCCCTGAGTGGTGGTTACTGAAAACACCCAATGGACCCTCAAGCTAGAGCAGACGCTGTCTCCTCTCATTGTGCTTGAGAAGCCGGCAGGGGGAAGGAGTCCATTCCCTGGTCACCAGCGGAAACGCTCAGGCCTCGGAAAGAGAGTGGGTCACGGCCACAAGCCGCTCAGGATGCCCGTTCCCTGGGGCCACACTGAGCCAGAGCTCAGCTCGATTAGCAGGCCCTGAGCCTCCCGAAGAGGGAGCTGGGGTGCGCCCCCCACTCTGGCTCACTGGCACTCAGAGCAGGGCCCCGGGCGCAGCTGCCTCCTCTCTTCCATTCGCCTGGCTTCCTTCCTAACAGACAGTTAACCACCATCCCAGAACCTAACCCACCGAACCCATCCCCTCAGAGCAGCCGCGCGCTCCTTTAGACTTGCTTTCTGGAAGCCACCTTCCCAGCCTGCAGAGAATTCTTGCGAATCCTTTCCTTGAGAGGGATTTGATGTGTGGAAATAGTAAAACCCACTGGAAGGCAGTCCTGGGAGGCGCGGTGGCTAACCAAGTCAGACACGGCCGCTTCCGGTGAAAGCAGAGGCGACAGGTTAGGAGAACAGTTGACGTTGGCTCAAGATGGCCCCCAATTGTCCAAAGAGAACTTCTGGAAGTGCTGGGGCATGCCTCAAACAGTCACTCCCAAGGGTCTGCCTCAGAGGGCAGCCCTCATCTGAATGTCTGAGCTCCAGTCTGAGGTTTAAATGCAGACTCATTTCTCTGTAGCCGTGTCTTGGGTTTGTGGGGCCCTACAGCGTGGTGGCCCTGGCACCCCAGGCCCTGGCAGATGGTGGATGTCCTCCTCCCAGAGGAGAAGCAGTTCGAAAGGGTGACCGCCCACCATGGCTGCTCTGCTTACTCTGTGATGGACTCAAGACCGGCCAAGCCACAGTGCCCTGCTCTGAGGGCCACCACCCAAACCCCATGTGGCTGAGGGGCAGTAGCATCGCCACGAAGCTCTGCCTACCGCTCCTCGAGCCACGCCCGTGGGTTGCCCAGCTTCAGGCTGAGTGAG